ATCTTGACCATTGCTGAGGCACTCTATTCTCCACGTTCCGGAAGAACGTTACTAAGTTTCAGGACATTAGAGATAACAATTACCACGCTGAAACCCACGTAGAAAACGGAGTTGAATTTCTGTGCGTAACTTCCTACGAATATGGCCGAAGTGTATTCTAGAGAAGATGGAGTGTAACCCGAGTGGTTTGTATACTACGACCATACGCCCCATCGAATGCCACTATGTGGCCGGCCCTACCACAGGGACCACGCATGAAATTACACTTTGGCATGATCGTTTGGGACATCCTGGACAAATAGCGATGCGCCGTATCCTCAAAACTTCACACGGGCATCCACTAACCCGAAGCTTAGGTTCGATCCATGAAATCGCATGTCAAACATGTTCTATGGGAAAGCTTATTACTAAGCCTTCTTATGACAAGATTCGTTCGAATCCTCCCATTTTTCTACAACGGATTCAGGGGGACATTTGTGGACCGATTCAACCTCCCTGCGGACCATTTAGATATTTTATGGTTTTGGTTGACACTTCTACACGTTGGTCACACGTGTGCTTGTTGTCCACAAGGAACGTTGCATTCTCCAAACTGTTGGCTCAGGTTATCAAGCTCAGGGCTCACCACCCTGATTATCCGATCAAATCTATTCGATTGGATAATGCTGGAGAATTCACATCTAAAACTTTTGATGACTATTTCATGTCGGTTGGGGTTGAAGTTGAACATCTTGTACCCCATGTTCACACCCAGAACGGCCTGGTAGAGGCTTTCATTAAGCGTTTACAAATGATTGCTCGATCATTGGTCATACGTACCAAGCTCCCGATCGCTGCTTGGGGCCATGCAATATTGCACGCAGCAAAGTTGGTCCGCCTGAGGCCCGTTGCGACACAACCATTTAGTGCCCTTCAGTTGGTCACCGGATGCGAACCCGACATATCGCATCTGCGCATTTTTGGTTGTGCAGTCTATGTGCCGATTTCGCCGCCCTTACGTACAAAAATGGGGCCTCAGCGAAGGATGGGAATCTATGTCGGATATGATTCTCCTTCGATTATTCGTTACTTAGAACCTTTGACAGGTGATCTGTTTACCGCTCGTTTCGCGGATTGTCACTTCTATGAGACAGTCTTCCCGCCGTTAGGGGGAGATAAGAACGTCAACGTTCCGAATGAACGACGCGAATTATCGTGGACGACTCCCACTTTGTCTCATTTAGATCCCCGCACTGCTCAGTCTGAAGCTGAAGTGCAGCGCATATTAGATCTCCAGAGCATAGCTCAGAGCATGCCAGATGCTTTCACCGATCTAGCGCGCGTGACAAGATCACATATTCCAGCTGCGAATACGCCTGCAAAGATAGATGTACCAAATGTACGACAGACTACCCTCCTGGAAGCCCGGAACGCCAATTCTGGTGATCCACGTACATTAGCGGCTAGCCAATGATCTGCCCCTACACAAAAGCGTGGCAGACCCCTTGGTTCAAAGGATTCACACCCCCAGAAGAGGAAAACCACGGCACAAGGTCCTGAAGAGCCTACCGTGAATCTGACTATCGCTTACTCATTTTACCCAACTCATGAGGAAATTCTAGATTATGAAAGCGTCCTTGAAGAGACGAATCCTCCTCCCGAGAATCATGAGATTTCGGTCTATTATGCTAGCTTAGATGATGTGTGGCGTAGAAATGAGATGATTGTCGACGATACATTAGCATTTGCAATAGCTACTGAGATCATGTTGAGCGATGACATTGAACCGCGTTCCGTTGATGAATGTCGACGTAGAGCTGATTGGTCAAACTGGAAACAAGCAATCCAAGTCGAACTTGATTCACTTGCGAAACGTAAGGTGTTTGGACCTGTAGTTCCTACTCCTCCACATGTGAAGCCCGTTGGCTACAAGTGGGTTTTCGTTCGGAAGTGTAATGAGAAGAACGAAATTGTGCGTTACAAAGCTCGTCTTGTAGCACAAGGTTTCTCACAACGCCCCGGGATTGATTATGACGAAACTTACTCACCCGTTATGGATGTGATTACTTTTCGATACCTTATCAATTTGGTAGTTTCTGAAAAACTGGATATGCAGCTGATGGACGTAGTAACCGCGTATCTCTATGGGGATCTTGATACGGAAATTTATATGAAAGTTCCCGAATGACTTACATTGACTGGTTCAAATATTTCCAAACCCCGGAACATGCTCTCAATTCGGCTGAGGCGTTCACTATACGGTTTGAAACAATCCGGAAGAATGTGGTATAACCGTCTGAGTGAGTATTTGACTAGTCAGGGATATGTGAACAACGAACTATGCCCTTGTGTGTTCATTAAGAAGTCACATTCCGGATTTGCGATTGTTGCAGTATATGTCGATGACATGAATCTCATCGGAACTCCTGAAGAGCTCGCGAGAACTGCTTCGCACCTGAAGTCGGAATTTGAGATGAAAGATCTAGGAAAGACTCGATACTGTCTCGGTCTCGAGATAGAGCATTGTTTGGATGGAATCTTAGTACATCAATCGAACTACACCCAGAAGGTGTTGCGCCGTTTTAATGAGGATAAAGCGAAGTCTTCGAGTACTCCTATGGTCGTTCGTACGCTAGATGCAAAGCGAGATCCTTCCGTCCGAAGGAGGATGATGAAGAGATTTTGGAGCCTGAAGTTCCTTATCTAAGTGCGATAGGCGCTTTATTGTACTTAGCTCAATGCACTAGACCCGACATCTCCTTCGCTGTTAATCTTTTGGCAAGATATAGCAATGCACCAACACGCAGACATTGGACTGGCGTGAAAGACATCTTTCGTTACCTTAAGGGTACTACGGATTTAGGCTTATTCTATCCCTACGAATCCTCGAGTGATGTCGCATCCTATGCTCATCGGGTTGATTCTCGCCTTGTTGGTTATGCCGATGCTAGATACTTATCTGATCCGCACAAGGCGCGTTCTCAAACGGGTTATGTCTTTACCGTTGGAGGCACCACAATATCTTGGATGTCAACTAAACAGACCTTAGTTGCCACTTCGTCTAACCATGCTGAAATTCTCGCCTTACATGAAGCAACTCAGGAATGCTTTTGGTTAAGAGCAGTAATGGGCCATATTCGAAGCTCATGTGATCTTCATCCCGCCATTAATGCCCCGACGACGATTTTTGAAGACAACGCAGCTTGCATCGAACAGCTCAAGAAGGGTTACATCAAAGGAGACAACACCAAGCATATTGCGCCGAAGTTCTTCTTTACACATCAACAACAAGAGCATCAGAAGATTGAAGTCACGCAAATCCGATCACAAGACAATCTGGCCGACCTCTTCACCAAATCACTACCGAAGGCGACGTTTCAGAAGCTTGTTCATAGAATTGGTATGCATAAACTTTCTGAGTCGTAACTTTGCTATTTCTCTTTGGAATTATGTCAAACTCAAGGGGAGTATCTTCTGGATACTTGCTTGATCTTAATGTACTCTTTTTCCCTACAATTAGGAGCATTTTTCCCACTAGGTTTTTGCTACCTAACTAGGTTTTAACGAGGCACCCACCTTGGGCTGGTCATATCCCTGATGACGTCCTGTAGACGTTTCTTTTGACTTTGCATTTCTCACGCATTTTTCCTTAGACTATGGATTTTGTCCCTACTTGGGTTTTTGCCATAGCCTTAGGGTTTTTTTTTAGTGAGACTTACTACTTATTCAAGTTCCTACCTTATTGAGAATAAGCGTTGTTCCTTGGAATCAGTGCCAACGAGTCGACTTCCTCAACTTCTGCATGATGCTAAATCTACCTTAAGTATTTGCACACTCAATGGGGAGTGTTGTAAACATTCCTAGAATAAGTATGATTGTGTAAATCCTAGATTAGATTTGATTCTAGTTATCCTTTCCTATTACAACTTGTATTACTTGGAGGAGAAGGAATATCTTCTCTCCCTTTACTACTATAAATAAAGGCACAATGTAGGAGGGATAACAACACACACATTCCCCTACAATTCTACAAACACACATCTCTCTTCTCTCTCCCACTGCCGCTGGCCCTCTCTATTTTGTTAGATAAAAATAGACCACAACAAAAACAACATTCTTCTTGCTCGATTCTCCTTTTCCCCAATATTATTTCTATTAAAAACCAACTATTTAGATAAAATTTAAAGTTAAAACTTGTGATCTCTAAATTTCAAGGGTTATTTATTTATTTGTTTTCTACACGAGGAATTTCTAGGGGCAGGCGTGGGTTGGTTTTGGGCCAAAACCGAAACCAAACCAACCTAGTTGGTTGGGCCAAAATTGCAAACTGAAACCAATCAAGCTGGGTCTAAAACCGATCAGATCGGTTAACCAACAGTAGCGGATTGGTTTGGATCAGTTTTCGGTTTGTGTGAAGATGAAAATACATAACAAATTTCTCTCCCAAAAGATACAGAATGTAGCACCAATGAGTAATTGCTCAGAAAAGAACAAATGAAGCAGCTCAAGGAGAGCACCAAAGCAATAGATGTTGCCTTCTCCAAATGGTGCCCCATGTTCTTCTCCAAAGAGACTCTTAAACTAATCATGTGTTGTTTTCATGTGGTGAAAACAAGGTAACTCATAAACAACTAACCATTTATAGGGAAATTTTTTGAAATGTCATATGAACTAGTTCATATTTTTCAATTTGTCATATAAACTAAAATTTTAAGCAATTTGTCATACCAACTTTACAAAATCATCAATTTTGTCATCTCACTCCAACTCCGTTAAGTTTTCCATCCAATATATGTCATGTGCCTCGCACACGACTTGCGTTAAGGGTTATTTAGGTCATTTTAACATCTTTTCACAAGTTTTTTTTACCTTTCTTTAATACACACACTTAATTTTTTTTTTTTTTACTTTTATTTAGCACATATGCATTTACAACTAGTTTATATGAGAAATGGACAAAATGCATACAAGTTCATATGACATTTCAAAAAAAAATCCCCATTTATATTACTACACATTAATTAAGATTAAAAAATAAAATAAAATATATATGGGTCAGTTGGGCAACCACACCCTAAGAATTTTAAGAATACCTTATTTCTACCAGGAAAAACAGAAATATCTTATGTACTTACCTATACAATATCATTGCAGGTTGTAAGAATACAATCAAGCCGACTAGAAAATCTCAAACTTGAGAAGCTGTCTGTCACGGTCTGAGTAAGAACAATCTAAAATCTAAATGCTGTTGCTCTCAGTTACTTTGACTGAAAGAATAAATAGCATCTGCTGTCTATGAAATTAATTCTCTTCGGTCTCTACTCAAATCCAATTGAAATTTCATTAATAATTGTTAGTATCACCTAATCATCCTGCCTCACAAATGACGGAAAATGCAGGACCTCCTACGATCAAATCTAAACATCGTCAGGTAGTAACTCCACCAGGAACGCAGCCTCGGGTGTTCCACCCGTCGTCCTCAATCGCTACAAGCAGATCACCTATAAAGATAATTAGAAACCTGCAACAAGAGAAACATTACACATGAGTATCCAGAACATATGCCCTCCCCCTTTTATGATGAGATAGATAAAGCAAAACCAAATGCTTTGAGATATCGAAAAACAGAACTTGGTTATGGGAATAGGCCCAACTGGGTAGTACTCTAAAATGGAGATGGGAATGCTAAAAAATGATATCTTGATACAAGAAAAACAAAAAGTAACCACCGTATGCAAAATCACTTTTGCTTAACTGAAGTCCTTGCACAAGCGTTAAATGCTCGCCCTAGCACTCAACCAAACCAGAGATGTGATCGTGGGTTTGGGTGTGGGTGCGTCTGAAGAGAGAGAAATGTGATTGTGGGTGCTGGTGTGTCTCTGAAGAGAGCGACAGTTGAAAAATAAAAAAGTAAGCCATCATAAAGTGCACAGAACAAACATATAGAGATCTTGTAGCAAGAAAAAGACATTCTTTTCTATTTTGTACCACTTCGGCCTCTTTTGTTGGTTCATTTGCTCTTTGTGATGGTTCTTGATATATGGCACCACTGCCACAACTTCACCACACAGGAAAGTAACTCGCCTCACAATATTCCTCTTCACCTAACTGAAAAATCTCGAGTGGAGGATCCTGACACCCATCTGTTCTCACAACTCTGCCTTTAATAATATCAATGAAGTACCTCAACTAATAAGAATGCCTTCATGTAGAAAGAACAGATAACACACTGAAGTACCCATCTTCCAATAATGCCAAAAGTGTTCAATTGCATGTGATCTGCAAATCGTAGGTAGATAATTGGTAAGCATATCACAAACTTTGAACTACCAACGACAAATATTTTCACTACTCCGTTAACTCAAAAGTCAAAACTTCATCTTAACGACCTTTTTCATTTTCATACTAAACATAAACTTTACTTAAAAAATAAGTTGTAAGAAACCATAAGATAGATAAGGGGCCCATCAGTAACTAACCAACCTCAAAACCCAAACAGATTATAACCTCAAGTACAAACCCCTCCCAAAAAAAAGGAATAATAAGAAATAAAAGTCGCACTAGAAGGGACACCATTTAAAATCTTTGACACAGAAGAAGCTCAAAATTTTGATACCAAAGAACTTGTCAATGCTTGGAGGTTAATGTTCATTATTATTATATTTTCTAAAAAAAGCCAATTCTTTACAAGAATCGCCAAGGGTTAAGCATACTGTTGACATATTAACCATTAGAGTGAAGGAAACTGAACCAATCACAATTTAATACCATATAAGCCCAAATTGACAAGAGACATAGATATTCGTTGTACGGATGCTATTGCATCAACACAACCGGCACAATTTATTTAGCCAAAGTTTGACAAGATACCTCACTTAAAGGTGGGACAGAGTTGGGTACTTCCTCAGAACAATCAACGGTACCATCAATTTGAACTTCAGCCAATTGGGGGACATCAGTTTTCACATCTTCCAAATGGGGGCAGACAGGAGGGTTCCCTTCACGACACATGTGGCACTTAAATCCAATAAGCTTACCAATGTTCTCTGAATTCAGTCCAAAAGCCTCACCGTGAAACCACACTGCATGGTACAAAAGGTAATGAAGGATATGTTAAAATATCTAAATTGAAGAGGAATTGGTAACAACCTGTGGAGATTAATAGCATTATGACATACTAAATCAGAGCAGAATAATTCAGCTAAAACTTGCTGAATTAACGATAATGACATAAAAAGAGTTGCATTTAAAACTACAGTTGCATTACTAGTCATTTACCTCCACAGATTTCACAAGAAATATAATTTAAAGAAGACGTATATCTTGCTTCACAACAAAGGTGGCATTTGGGTTGATCAAGAATGGTCGACGCACATTCTGAATGCACAAGGAGTTTCTTATCCCAAAAATGCGTAACACGTTCATCACTTGGCTTTCTAGACAATAGCAGACCATTAAGCCAGTAACTGTGATAGACTTGCGTTCTCTTCTTCTGCCAAGTAACTGTATTTGGTTCCTTATAAGTGCCCTTATTGGATTTGCCTTTTTTCCCTTTCTTGCATTTGCTAAGTTTTTTATTTTGCACTGGTAAGCTTTTAGTTTTTCTAGGAGAACGACGTAGAGGTACAATTGCTGGAACTGTTTTGCTATTTTTCAATCTTACTTGTCGTCCTCCAGCCAAAGCTTTTTTTTTGTTTTTCAAACGCATTGATCTGCGACCTGTTTGAGAATTTGTACATTTTTGTGACTGTACTTTCCCTCCTTTCGGTTTACATTTCTGTGGCTTTACTATCGCTCCTTTTGTTTCAACTTTCCTTCTTTTTGTGTCAATCTTAGGATGCAATCCATTCTGGCATCGGTGGCATGTATATTTACACCGAGCAACCACTGCCCCAGCAGACTTTCTGGCATGCCTTTTGTGGTAAAATCCTGAAATTTATACAATAATAATCAGATACCAATGCTAAGACAACAAATGAAATCTGTATCAAGCATAAAGTTGTAGGGGCACCAATTATTCATTAGAAAGTAACAAAAAGAACATGCTGTGTGTCAATAGGTAATGCTACCTCCTAATGGGTCTAACTTGTATATACATTGTACACCAAAAGTCAAAATGAAAAATAACGGAAAGAAAAGATAGTACCACTTCAATATAGTTGCCAAAATGCAATGGAAAGAATGCGGAATGAACTGTCCCACAGAAAAACAGCTCTAACAATAAAATTCAGAACATTAACAGGAGCGTGATTGTCAACCAAATAAGGTTGCCCTAGGGTCATAAATAGTTCCCATCAATGGTACATAATACATAGTTACTTTCAAGCATGAAATATAACTACAGGGTTCAGTGTAGAAGCCTGAAGCAGGGCCAAGAGGAAAGCAAAAGACCACTAACGGAGACTTAACAGACTGGGATATAAGGCATTCATTTGTGAGGTTAATGAGTTGATAAAATAAATAAAAGCTTCAAGACTTCACAAAATATTGATACTACGTGTTCCGCCAGCAATGTTTCAAAACCGCATACCAAAGGGAAAGGGAAAAAAACCGAGAGAGAGAGAGAGAGAGGGAGAGAGAGAGAGAGAGAGAGAGGAGAAGGAGGAAACCCACACCTTTGCAATACTGGCAGCTCACAGCTTCCCTGTTATATTGAAAATAATATACAAGATAATCAGTAAAAACGTAGTTAATACAACATTTAACACGTAGCATGACAATATCATCTCAAGAATTGGTCCCTTAACAGGACTAGGAATACACAAGAGATGCCCATCTTTTCATATCATAGAACTTAATCCTCAAACATCACAGCTATTGATGTTCCCAATCCCTCCTAATTTTTCCTTTACAGGAACCTCAATGTTTTGACAGATGAACATAAGTGAAAGGCTTACCAAATGCCATTCGTTTAATGTCCATTTCTATCCAATATCAGGAGTAATATTTCTGAAACTGACTTAAAAAAGCAACAATTCCAGAACAAGGATTTCCTCAGTTTACTTTTATCGAAAGAAAACAAGCTACTATGGGAAGTATAAGCAATGACAAGCACAAAAAAATACGAGATGGCAATTACATGCAGAAGAACAAATTTGTGTTACCTTTTCAGGACATCTTTGTTGCAGTGTGCACATTTATAATACTCAGATCTTTCAGCTTTCGAAAACAAATACATAAATCCCTTTTCTTCCCGGGGCCTCTTTGTTACTCTGGCAACCTCAAGAACTTTCCCAGATTTCACATCAGTAGACTTTCGGGCAATCCTTCTCTCTTCAAAATTTTTCAAAAGATGCAAGGGAAGATATGATTCATCCAGCCAATACTTTTTCTTCTCACTGGACAGTTCTTCAACCAGAGAACCCCATCTCTTCACAATGTCAGGGATAGCTCTTCTCTTACCAAAATCAAGAAGATACTTAACCACCCCCCCTTCAGAGCACTTCCTGCGGACAATAACTTTCTTGAACAACTTGATTGATTTTCTCGACTCTTTGTCCAACGTGGGCAGAGGGTGTGAATTCTCAATATCATCCCATTTAATGTTTGAATCAAGCTCTCTAACCTGAAACAATAACAAATTTTAGGGACCCAAATTTCTAGGCGGTAACTATTCAAGACCGTGAATTATAATGGTGACCAAAAAAATGTTAAAATCACAGTTTTGAGACCAATCAACAAAAGAGAAAAACAATTCATGTAGGACAGAGATCCAGAGTCACTCCGGCCTTGGCATCACACCAAAGGTGTAATGGAATCACTCCAATACAGAAATTAGAAAAATTCCGGCATCACAACGGCCTTCAGCTTCATACTTAAGGTGCATTGGAATCACTCCGATGTTGTGCTTCACACACAAGCAGGAAACCCAAAATTTCTTTCACTAATAATCTTATTTCAAAAGCTTACAAAGTAGCCCCTTTTATAGGCTAATTGGTAGGGTGCATTTTTGCTCACCACCCTCAAGTAGTGATAATGCTCACCACCATATTTATCACCGTTGGATGAGTTCAAATTTTGAGATTTAGGTCTATCTACTACACAGATCTCGAAATTTAAACTCGTTTAACAGTGATAAATAGGATGGTGAGCATAAACATCTCTTAAGGGTGGTGAGCAAAAATATTCCCCTAATTGGTACATGAATCTGGAAAGGTCCGCATTACTATCCTAAGGAATTCTAAAGACTAATTTATGACACCTAATGTAGAGAATGAATCCCACATTCATGGGAGGAGAGACCTTGCATGGACTTATAACTAAGTTGGGCTACTCCACATAATGCCAATTGGTTTTATGGTGAAACCTCAACTTTCTTCACCTCATACGTTAAAACTGTAACATAGTGAGACTCAAAACAATTAACTTGCAGATTACATGCATAAATTGCATTTATTACATAGGAAAGTACAAAGACTCTAATTTATTGAAGTTTGAACTTGGCTGCCGCATCAGCTATTATTTATACCACAGCAAGCAAGAAGCCAGTAAAACATCTGAACATCACCATTTAAATGAAAAAGGTATGGACAATACCTGTAAAGCAAGCTGTTCTGCACTAGTTGAGGCCTCAACAGCAGCTCGCCAGGCAATAGATTTGCTTCTCTTAGCATATTCTGAATTCTCAGGATATAAAATACCCAGTATCTTTGTACACCCAGCTGCAGAATATACAACTTCGAATGAATTCAGAATAATTATTCAGTTGATTTAACTGTAAAAGAACTCCACAATGTAAAATTACACATAATAAATAGTAAACAATTAGCAGACCTTGTCTGGCACCCTTGGAAGTCAAGGAACGAGGCAAAACCTTCCAACTGAAAACCTGACGAGAAAGCCTACCACCCCTCCACCAAAACATTCCCAATCCACTGGCAGCATTTAAAGAGGGGTTGGACTCACTATCTGAACACTTGATCCTTCTTCTGCTACGTAATGAAGTCACAACATGAGAAGCTGAGCCCACGGTATTAACAGAATCTACATGTTTCAACCAGTCTGCTGAAAGTGCACGATGACGCAGATTTGCCTCCAACTGTATCATGTGTATCCACCAATGTTAAGAGATGAAATCAAAGAATAAAATCAAGATAGCCAAGCAAGTCATGGTAATACAAAAGACTCTTTGCAATAAATCAATGAGATACATTACAATAAATACACACACGTAAAAGAAATGATTTTATATAAACACGGTGCAGGCAAAGATTTCCAAATGATGGCTAAAGAGCATTTTGATAAAAAACCAGAAAAAGCAGAGCATAATTAAAACAAAAGGTTGACAAGAACACCAGCTTAAAGTTTTAGCATACGTAAACTAACCAACTCTATACAACAGACAGATTATAAATAAATAAAATCCTTACCATAAGAAGTAAATATTTAATGGAGGCAATGCTAGATGCCTGAATAAGGGTTTTACGCCACAGTTCTACGTGAAGTGGATTCAACCATGGGCCCAACAGAAGTCCCTGCAGACGATCATGAATAGATAGGATTTGACAGCTGACATCATTAAGATGACCTTTCCCACTCTTTTTCAATTGAAGGCCAACTCTATCACTATAAGAAGCATCCTGAATAGACCCCATACTCATGATAAACAAGCAATCCTTGTCATCAGCAGGAGCTTTGCAAGAAAAGCACCAACCACATTTCTCCTTCTGTGCACCTGTATTTAGGTTCTCAATATTTGGCCAGAAAAATTTGGACGATTTTTTTAAAATGGTCTTCATCTGTGCTGATATTATTTCCTCTTCTGTTATTATTTTATCTTCTTTAATTTTTTCTGATGACTTACGCGTCAACTCCTCGGCAACAGATGAAGCAATTTGGCCAAAACTGTAATAGTTCATATAACCAAATCTACAATACACTTCTGAAGTGCCCCCTTTTCTAGCGGTTATTGAAGACAAAGCATTGCCAAGATCCATATTATGTTTATTGATTCCCCTTCTAACATGTAAGCTAGTAGATGGTGAAGAAGAGTCTTCAGGCTGAGGTTTTTTCACAAAGTCAGGTCTATCTAAATCGCACGGCATGACTGACCTTTCCACTTGCATGGTTTCAGCTGGCACTTCAGAAGTTATATTTGGCATTGTTGTCACAGTCACTGAATTTTCTTGCAGTTTTTTATCTTCATCAGTCTCATTCTTAGCAGCACATGTTTCTGAAAATGCCAAAGGGTCCAGGGGCATCGAGTAACCAATGTTGCCATCTGCTCCTTCAAAACTAACAGGAATGTCCCAGTGCTTGCAGATTGCCACTAATATCCCACCATAGAAAAAACCTGAAGACCTTAGCACTTCAATAACTTTATTCAGATCATTTCTGTCATAATAGTTGAATGTGGACTCACGATCAAAAGAATCTGATCTGCAAGAGCAACAGCCATAACAGATGAAGCCAAACACATACCAAATATGATGAGAAGTGGAACATAACCTAGAGAAATAAATACAACATTTTAAATATACTATTAATCAACAAATTATTATCTCAATAAAAAAAAATTGAACATATCAATGCGCATAAGAAACTGAGAATAGCTCAATCACTAAAGGCCCATTTGGTTTTTATTTTATTTTCCTTTATCATTTTTTTATGCTAAAATATAGGCAAAGTATGTAGAAGAGAGGAGGAATAAAAAGGGGTGGAGGAAGGGTGCTGCAAAGAATGTATACAGTATGCATGTGGAATGGCGCACAAAATGAAAACTAAAAACCAAGAATTGAAAACAATTTGAAGATGTTGAGATACCGGAAGGAAAGATTAAGGAATGATAAATAGACAACTTGTGCAGGGGAGGAATCAAAGGAGAACAGATTACCTATGCTAATTGACTAGGCAAAATGGAAATAGAACTGATTGGTCTGATTGGTCTAACAAATAATTATTTAAGATTTAAGACCTTGTTCAGTTAGATATCCGGGTATGATGCATCTTAAAATGATTGCTTATTACAAATTCACTTTGATATGAATATGGGACAACCAACATACTTCATGCTTCTTGATAGGTTTTTTAATATATATCAATGTAACTCAGCATAAGATTAATGTTTGTTTCTCATGAATAATGATTTTAAGCAAGATGCTTGTGTAGGCCAAAATTAAGAGCAAATTGACCTATGAATAACAAAACTAGTCATCTTTGCAATTTAAAAGAGTAACACCAGCAGTGATATAATACAAAGCCATGTAAAGATTAAAAAAGACAAACTTACACCAACAGGTACCCACAACTTTTAAAATATAGCCGGCCACAAGGATCAATCCCTAATATCTCTGCACCTCGGAGTGACTTCTGCAAATTCATCCAATGTCTATGCCGGTCAATCAAACACTCAGGGCAGTACCAGTCACCCTCCGGCAAAAGATCATTAGAAACTCCAACACATTTTGAATGATATGCAGCAGGACAACCATCACAGCATATTAAATTTCCATCCATCTTACAGAGGCAGCATTCATCACTATTCCAGTCGTTGGTGTCATCATCAACCTCATCATTCAAATTCGAGGTACCAGCGACCTCCACTGGAGCCTTCCTTTTCTTGCCAACCTCATAGTTCAAATTCCGGTCATTCACCATGTCCGGCTCAGCTGCCAAAGACCTTCTATTAATCTCTGACCTTACGGCTTCCACTTCTATCAAATCATCACAAAGACACCGCAGTATTTCAACTTTTACAGAAGCAGGTTGTGTGTAGTAGTCAATTTTGTATAGCTTGAAGCAACCGAGATCAAAACCCGGTTTTAGTCCCGAACCATGGATCAAGAAATACTCCACCATAAAAATTGGCCACGTAATCAAGTCAAGAAAATCCCAATTGAGACTCCTACATCGAAGATTAACACAAAATGTTCAAAATCAATAAAGGAAGTTTCAAGTAACCCAAGGGGTGACATCAGATTAATATAGTAAAAGGAGGGCAAAGAATATACCTCAGACAATTAGAAGCAGATTCGTCACCTTCATTTGCGAGCCACTCCAAGTGTTTTCTCAGTGTTTGTAAAATAGAAACATGAACATGATCGAATAACGAGCTAGGAGTCTTGCACGTTAGTGCGGCCACAAAATCCTCCAACTTGAAGGGACTCAGAAATAATAGAGTGCTAAATGATCTTAAACAAGCATAAATAGAAAAAAGGTCAAGTACGGGAATTCCATCTAGATTTAAATGTTGTGATGAAGGAGGTAATTCGAGAGACTGAGGAAGAACACTGGGCTTTTCAGTCTCTTCACAACCAGAAATCACTGGTTTTTCCTCTGTTATTGCACTCACTGCAGAAGAGGACAATGGATCACTGACAGAAACATGATTTAGAGCAGAACCTCTACGAGCACTTCTCCTCAAAACTGTCTCTGTAGTCGTAGATTTCAAATTATCCAGTAGTTTTCTCCTCTTTCTACGGCTACTTTTTTTAATGCATGGACTTCCTGAATCGCCTAGGTTTCCATGAATCATTGGAGTGCGAGCCTCAGAGAGACTATCTTTTACCAGAACTTCCACCAATCCACTATCTTTAATGCAGCCAGTGTCAAAAATCCCAACCGAATTATCAGCTTTCAAATCTCCACTGGAACAACAATTTTTATCATCAAGTCGTTCACCAGCTGCACAGTCAATAGGGTCATCAACGTTCCTCATGGGAACATCTTCATTAATATCAATATACACTTCCTTACACATCCCATTAGAATTACCATCTTCGGTAATCTTTTCTTCACCATCTCCACTCCTCTCTTTTTCTAGACTTCCTTCAATCATCTCAAACTTGGGATTAACCTTGAATTTTTCTTCACAGTCACATTCTGTATCCTTAAACTCCTCATTAACTTCTAAATTGAGATCAAAATCGCAGCCCCTCTTCTGGGTTCCATGGGTAACCAAAGTTGAACCTCCCAAACTACTATCCCCATTCCGATTCTCAACAAAGTCGTCATTTGCATCCAAATTCAAATCAATACAATCTCTTTTCTCCACAACCCCCTCCATGCCAACATTTGAATCAACATTCAAGTCACATCCATCATTCAAATTCAAATTAAACCCAGCATTCAAATCAATCCCATTTTTCAAATTACCTACTCGATTCACATCCCCATTAGTAATCAACCCAGTTCCCTGTTCTAGGGTCTTATCCACTACATTACTAGAATCAACATTTTCATTCAAATTCCCACTAACCGCCACATTTTCCCTCAAATTCCCTCCAAACCTCTGTTCAAGTTCCAATTTTCCCTCAGACCCATCACTCAAATTACAATTTTCATTCAAATCCCCATCAAACCCAGAAGCATTTCCAAGAGCAGCATTACCTCGAATTTCTCGCTTCCTTTCAATACGCCGCCGTTTTTTGGGCTTCCGGCCCGGTTTGGCGGCGGCCTCCACGAGGTCAACCTCAGCACCGCAACCAAGGAGCAGAGAGACCTCATCGAAGCTCAACTCCTCAGTATTTCCATCTTCATAGACGACCTCGAACAACCCAGATGTGGCGGCGTACGATTTCACAGTTCCGGTGAAAAAACCGTGGCCTTTGAGCTCCTTCTTCACACTTCTTCCCACGAACTCCATTTCCTGTGATCCGCAGCCCGAACCCGGTCCAGAAATAGGAAGAAGACCCTTTGCTTTTCTCTCTTTCTCTCTCTAACTGCCTTTGTCCTTTGGGTCGGACAGAGAGAGAAGGGAGAGGGAAATTTGGTAATTTTCTCTCTCTAGAAATGCCTTCAACGTGCATAGAGATAGAGGGAGACAAAATGGATTTGGGTTCCTTTCTTCCCCCTCTCTCTAAAACTGCTTGACTCTGACTACAATTTCCAAAGAGCAGAGAGAGAGGAGAGAGAAAGTAAGCGCAACTACTCTCTATCTCTCTCTAGAAAAATAAGGTTGGTGAGAAACATCCGAAATTCGTCTTCTTATTTTCAGGGTGGCATTTCCCCTTTTTTTTTTTTTTTTTTTCTTTTTTGATTGGGAATTCTTAAGAATATAAAAGATTAAAACAAAAAAGTAGATGCCTTGCTCTAAAGTTTACCGTGCAATATAGTTTTAATCATGTTTGGAGACTGATTTGATGCTCTTGGTTTCGTAAAAGTTATTTATTCGAGGTTTCCACTTTATAATCTTTTTATCATTAAGTTAGAATTAAAGATGGAGATGAATGATTGAGATGGAAAATGAAGAATTAAGTCGAGACGCAATGAGCTGGACAGAAATGTCTTAAACATCATATTCAGAGTTTTCTACTTGCTTCATCTTCTTTAATAAGAGCCGTACCTAGTAGACTTAGCTCTTACATCTTATAGAAGGTTGTCAGTTGTGGGTGATTATCAAGTTTGAACTCCACAGCCTTCTACAGGAGCAGTGTATTAAGATTTATATGGATTTTTGTTAAGTTTTTTATCGATACACTTTTATAGATTTAAGTAGACTTTTCCGAACTATTATAAACTCCATCAAATTTCATAGACTTTATGATATACTGTTCTGGAAAGAAAAGAGTTAAATGATAGACTTTTACAGAATTTTAGTGAGTTTAATTGCTAGATTTTTTTATAATTATACGGATTGTCAGACTTTTTAATAACCAATTTATTCATAAGCATCATTATTTTTAAGTCTTTACTGTTGAAATTGTGATGATGTGGCACCGTTAGTTTGTGGCAGTATCATGCGGTCATTGTCAGCAAGATGATGGTAGTAAAATTAGTGTCTTTAGTGGCGGTGATAATAGTAGGGGTAATGATTGTAGTGGTAGGGGTGTGGTTGGGGTGGTGGAGTAAGGATGGGGGCAATGGTGATGGGGTAGTGTCATGGTGATGACATGGTAGAGGTGGCAGTCATGGTGATGGTGGTGTCAATGGTGATCATAGTAAATTTGGAGATGATGCTCATGGCAGTGACGGTGGTGGCAGTGGTGGTTGTGGGTGGAGAAATGGTCATGGTAATACGATGTTGACGACACGATGGTGGAAGTGATAATAAAAACAGTCATTACACTATGGTGGGTGGTAGAGTTTATCATTGGAGAATTGAGAAACAGTGAAATCCATCCAAATCCATGACTTACTAAAATCCTTTAAAATCAATGAAATTTTGAGTACACCTGGATTTTTGTAAACTCACAAAAAATTATAATTGAATACCACAACTGTAACATCCCACATCGCTCAAGGGAGTGGATCCTGTAAGCCTTATATGTATATTCTCATCTCTACCTAGCACGAGGCTTTTTGGGAGCTCACTGGCTTCAGGTTCCATCGGAACTCCAAAGTTAAGCGAGTTCGTGCGAAAGTAATTCCAAGATGGGTGACCCACTGGGAAGTTCTCGTGTGAGTTCCTAGAAACAAAACCGTGAGGGCGTGGTCGGGGCCCAAAGCGGACAATATCATGCTACGGTAGAGTCGAGCCCTGGATGTGGTGGGGGCCTGGGCCGGGATGTGACAACAACTATTTTGTAGACTTTTTAGAAGTTATAAAAAGTCTTTATTCAATACAAGGTGACTTTTATTGACTCCTTAAAAGTCTATATTAAATACACTTGGATTTTAGAATCAAACAAAGTTCATCAAACTCCATATACAATACATCTCCTAAATTTTCTTGAAACATGTAAATCATCGTTTTACTAAAATATATTCTTTCCAGCCCTGTTTTACCTTCACAACTTACGTATACATGGTATCGTTTTATTAAAAGAAATAGTTGAATGAAATGAGAAGAAATAGAGAGGCTTACTGACTATTGTTATGAAGATGACTTATGTAATTTCAAATCAATGAACATAAAAGAAACCAAAAGTCTAAATCAAGACAAAGACTGTTATAATTGAATTAAATGGGAGTAAATTTTCAACGTCCATATAGATAGAGATAGAAGGAGACAAAATGCCTTCAACGTGCATAGAGATAGAGGGAGACAAAATGGATTTGGAGATGATGTTCAAAATGGATTTGGAGATAGAGGGAGACAAAATGCCTTCAACGTGCATAGTGATGGTGGTGGCGGTCATAGTGATGGTGGTGTCAATGTTGATCATAGTAAATTTGGAGATGATGTTCATGGCAGTGACTATCACAGCCCGTCTCGAATTTATTTTTTTATTGATGGTGTGAAATGACTAAATTGCCCTTGGACGTTAGTTGGTGTTGTGGGTGATATGTTTTGGTTGTGGTCCAATTCATGTTAAGTCCTAATTGTTTGGACCCAATTAGAACTAACATTTTTCCTAGTTTGTGGTTGGTTGTTTTGTTGCCAACTAGGACCACACACACTCACACATACCCATACCTTTACCCGTTGACCTTTCTCTCTCCTCCCTCTCTCGGTTTTCATCCATTATCCGTACAATTGTACGATCAACCCATTAACCAATCAATTCAGGCACGGATCGAGGTTTTGGAAGCCATTTTCGTGTTCCTTGTAAGCTTAGGAACCTATCCATACCTTTCATTGGACGTGAAGCCTTCGTTTTCCCGAGAAACCAAGAACCCCGATTTTAAGCACTGTTCATGTGATCATAATTGTGGACTTTTCAAGGAGTTTTGAGGTCCTAAGAAGCTTTAGAACATCTTCACGAAGCTCGGGGAAGAAAGTTGGAGTGTTTTGGATGTCGGGAAGCTTAGTTTGACGAGTTTCAAATTTTGGCAAGATTATCAAGGTTTCTCCAGCAAGATCCCGTGGATTTCAAGGCTTAAAAGTGGTAAGAATGTGTTCTACTCACTCTAAGCTTCATTTTGAGACAAATTTCATGGATTTTGGTGCAAAAATGAGTGAGAAATGAAGATTTGAATATTCCAAAAACCGAAGATCGCAACGGCGCTGGTGACGGTCTCAGGTGAAACAGGGAAGACGAAAGAGAATATTCCGTCAAGTCTGACGGAATATTCTAACGGCGTCAGGTAACGCTGTTAACTTTTATTAAGGTTTTAATGGAATATTCCTAACAGCCGTTAGGCTTAGTTAGGGTTTAGATGCGCGTGTGGGCATGTCTGGCTGTGCCCTTGCCAGCGCGTGGGTGGTCCAAAAATTATTTTTAAAATATGGAGATGTTCATGAGGTTGAGTAGATCACGTTGATATATTCAAACACCCCATTTGAGCATTGTATGAGAAGTTATTAGCTAATTTTGGTTGTGTGCTTTACTTAACGTTTATTTAGTTATTTCACATATAGGTGAGACCTATCCAGAGGGCGAGCGCCATCAATCGAGGCTCGGGGGCTACGACCCTTCTACATACTAGTGAGTGGGCTTTTGGTTTTCCGTATATACCTATATACTTGAGATTTTTTCCAGAAAATGAATTTGAATGATTATACGTTTTGAAATGTCATGCAAAGTATCTGCCTATTTTATTTATGCATTAGTAGTTGCATATATTTATGATTGGTGATGCGGACGCACAGGTAAGTGCCAGATAAGTTCATAAATTAAAGATATGAGATTGCTTTAGTTATGCGAGATATGATGTGATGCATTGAGAGCTCATAAACCTGCACCCCAGTGTTAGTGCTCCCGCCCAGAGTTATGGCACAGTCCTTCACGTGATGCTCACATCCCGCACCATATACTCACCTTGGATCCAAGTTAGGTGCACTGGCTTGTCATACAGACCATTATAGGTGGTTCCGTTCGTAGGTGACTCGCGATCATTCGCACATTCTTCACGTGATCGTAGCACTAGAGCATATTTATTTTACAACTAGTCTAGGTGGTTCCGACTCGTGTGCAGGATTTGATATGATTGAGATTGGTTATGAGCTATAGACTCAGCCAGGCAAGTCACGTTAGATGGATATGGCTGATATGATATCTGGCATTGATATATTTTAACTGAATTACTTATAGCATTTCATTGAGATACTTTGGCATGATATATTTCTATGGATTTTCATCCTGAGCATGGTTTCTGATATAACATATATTATTTTTCTGGGAAATTATACAGGTTTTACGACGAGGGGTTAGCGCTTTTGATAAATGAAATGAATTTGAAAAGCTTTGTTTTTGCCCACTCACACTTTCTGTTTTACACCCCTCCAGGTTTTAGGTAGAAGTGCTTTGGTGGCTCACTGGGATTTTGACGGTGGTTCTGACAGAACATCACAAATGTAGGATCACCTTTGGGTGTTGTATAATTAGTACTTGTCCAGTCGGACTGCACTTAGGCTATTTATGCTCTGATTGTGTATTTCACACTTAATCTTGCACTAGCACCTTATTTTAGCTTGTACTTTTAGTGGTATGGCTTTTATTCATTCACATTTCCTTATATCTTTATTGCTTCCACACTGTGCATATGGCTACGTCATCCTCACGTGATGGCCAGCATGTCTTGATCTAGGTCGGGATGTGTCAGTAACGGTGTTAGCAGTGATGGTGACAGTGGTGGTTGTGGGGTGGAGGAGTGGTCATGGTAAGACGGTGTTGACGACATCATGGTGGAAGTGGTAATAATAATAGTCATTACACTATGGTGGGTGGTAGAGTTTATCATTAGAGAATTGAGAAATAGTGAAATCCATCAAAATCCATGACTTACTAAAATCCTTTAAAATCAATGAAATTTTGAGTACACCTGGATTTTTGTAAACTCACAAAAAATTATAATTGAATACCACAACCATTTTATAGACTTATTAGAAGTCATAAAAAGTCTTTATTCAATACAAGGTGACTTTTATTGACTCCTTAAATGTCTATATTGAATACACTTGGATTTTAGAATCGAGCAAAGTTCATCAAACTCCATATACAATACATCCCCTAAATTTTCTTGAAACATGTAAATCATCGTTTTACTAAAATATATTCTTTCCAGCCCGTTTTCCCTGCACAACTTACATATACATGGTATCGTTTTATTAAAAAAAAATAGTTGAATGAAATGAGAA